TTTTCGAATTAATTCATGTATAATAAAAATAATAATTAGGTGTCGAAGCATGTTACTTAACATTTATAAGCATTTGTATTGTTAGAACAGATCAACGAAGGCATACCGTGCCACTGAGGGTAACGAGAGCCGTCGGGCATTTTATACAAGGCTAATAATCATTTCAGAATTGAAGTGAAGCATTTTTCAATGCAGATTGGGCCGGGTCCCGAAGGGGATGGATGTCTAAGCGGTTGAAAAAGTCGGTCTTGAAAACAAAAGTATTGATAGGAATACCGAGGGTTTGAATCCCTCTCTATCAGCGAGGAAGTGTTTTCACACCATCAACTGACATCGACTTATCTCAATCTTTAAATTAGAATTCTAAATTTTCTAAGACGCCTAAATGAGAAAATATTTTCAGGAAGGATATTAAATGAACATTTAAATTACCACTATAGAGTTTGAATCTCTTGACTTTCCAAAAACGATCCAGAATGGTAATGTAGCACAGTAACTCCAACCGTGCACACGTTATCCCCCCCTCCCCACATATTCACGATGTACGGAGACATGGATCTCCACGCACTCGGTCCGCGCTGAGCAGAGAGTGGCGTGGAATAACTGCGCAGAGTATGTCTCCGTGTGCACATAGATCTTTCCGCATGGAGCTCCGCGCAGCGCGGAGATCATGCTTTTCTCTGCGCAGCGTCTGTTATATTTTACACACATAGAGAACAACAGATAAAGATTTCATTCATTCATCAGCATGGTAGAAAACTTCTTTAAATTATTCAGATTTTTCTACTATAATGTGTTTTTTCATTCATATAAGGAATATGAGAATTTGAATAAACTCCAACGCACGTAAATCGCTATCTTTTAAGAGATGTTTCTATCATATCCAAAGATGTCACAACGGGGTTTAATGGAAATCTCTTTCATGATACAATGGAAGTGTGTGATTCAAATTGTGACAGTTTGATCAAATCAAGAGAGAATTGACGATTCCAAGGGAACAAAAGAAGAAGTAGAATGAATATCTTATTGTATCTGCAAATGGGCAACATACTCAATATATAAGGAGAAAAGTGTTCGTTGAAATGAATGGGTTTGTTTGTTGGAGAAAACTCTATTTCAAAGCGGCAAACTATTTGCATACCAACAATAAACAAATAAATAAATTATGAAAAGATATCTAACAATTTTTCAGTTTAACTATGTAATATTGTTAATTTGTTTAGACATTATTGAAAGTTGAGACCATTCTATACACATCTCTATTGTTAAACAACAAAGTATAGATACAAATTTACCACTAACATTACCTTCAAAATAACATAATATGTGCATTGCACGGGCAATAGATTAGTAATAAAAAAGGTTTCATCAAACATAGTTACAAAAGGTCTATAATGTTTTCATCACAAAAATACAAGATAAAAAATAAATATGTAACCCGGATAATTTAGAATTAAAGTTGATACGACACATAAATCTTGAACCTCTTCACTAATCTCCGACGACATTGTCTCTTCAAAATTATCCTAAGCCTTCAAGAATATCTTGTAAATTTACTCTTGAGAAAATGATTTTTTTGGCGTTAAATTCTCTCCGTGATCTTTTTTTTCTTAATTATGTGGTATGGAATACCGCTTTATTTGACGGACCATGCTATGTGTACATAGGGGTATACATAATGTGAGAGGGGCAAACCCCACCCCTCTCACATTATGTACACCCTTTTGTGTATTGCTATGTACACATAGCAATATTCTTATTTGACCTAGGTTGACTCTTGGATTTGGAAATGAAAACCCAGCCATAATTGGCCACCATTGAGGGCTTTGAGGCCCCACCCAGTTTGGCGCGAGTTGGCGCGTCCTACAGAAAACTGGGAGAGAATTTCTTTAGCTGCGCGGCCTTTGTGCAGCTTTCTCCAATTTTGCACACCAAGCTCCCAAGTTTTTTGATCTCTTCCATCTAAGTCCTTTATCTTTTATTCTTGTCAACTTCTATCCTTTTAGTTTAAATATATATAATTTGGTCCCTTATCTTCTAAACTTGCTCATTTTGGACATCCAAGTTTTAGATTGTTCAAGTTAGCTCTCAAAGCTCTTACTTTGTCTACTTTTGGACCCTAAACTCTCTAAATGTAAAACTTGGTCCCCAAAATTGTGATTTCATCCACTTAACACTCTCAAAGCTTCCAATCACATCCCCAACTTTTCAATAGCTCTTCAATCACATAATTAAGCTCCTATTTCGAAGAGATTAAATCAGATTTTTAGTAAATTTTGATAAAAGTTGATGAAATGTGTGGTTTGAAAAGTTGTGGATCCCATAAAATATGTGGTAAAAATTAATTATTTACTTTGACTTAAATTAAAATCCATATTTTAATCACTACCAAACAAGGGCTTAAGTTTCGATTGAGCTCCAAATCTCTTCCTTTTTGCCCTCATTCACCGCCAAGATGGATTTTTACTTATGAGAGTATTATGCACACTAAATTAAGTAGAAATATGCTCAAATAATCAATATCAAGTAAGTTTAAAGTCCTAGAAAACGCGTAAAACACGACATTTCAATTTAAGATCACTATTTGTGTTGGAAGCCCAATCTTCGACTCAAGAAGCACATTTCTCTTTATTATCATTTTGTATGTGACGTGTCCGAAAAAGTTTATCTTCTTATTAATCATGCACCCCCTCTAATGATCTACTTGGTACAAATCCTTTGGCCAAGTTACAATTCACACTTCTATTTAAGATCGCCATTGCTAGTCGAGTGCACAATCTTTCAACAGCATAAGGAAAAAAAAAAGATCAACCCTTCTCGTCAAGATTCACAAATCCTCGACATCATCTTTATTAAGCGTTTGTACACGTCAATCCATTCCATGTGTACAATTGCATATGCGTTGGCATTTTGCTAGTAAGAATGACTGCATAAATGCTTCCAATATTGTCGAGGAATACATGCATGTTCACCATTCTTCTTCAAAGTTTGCCTATGCTCTCTAGAAGAATTTTTTAGAAATGAAATTAACTTCTATTTGGGCAAACATGCTAAGTACCAAGGATCTCACTCAAGTTGTAATTTTCGAACTTCAAAATAAGTACAACATTAATGTCTATCATTGAACAGTAATTAGTAATTTTCTCAAACAACATCACGTTACGAAGTAATCAAAAAAGGCGGCCGTTAGCCGCGGGGGCAATGGCAGTTCTAGTGGATGGAGGTCGGAAACTGGTGGGAGCAGGGCCGCCACGCCGAGGCAGTTAGCAAGCATAGATCTCTCCATCCAAGTTTCAAGGCGCCATTGTCCTCCACCAGGGTGTAACCATCAGAAGGGAACATTCCCAGTAAAAGAGTAGCTTGTGCCGCGGCATTGCCACCCAAAGATACACCTTTGAAACCTGATTGCTGAAGCTTTTCTCTCCAGTTGTTGAATTTCACATCCCCACTTCTTGAAGGACCACCCACAGCCAACACATTTCTTATCTCTCTTGATAAAAGTTGCTGCTCCACTATGTGTCTTTCCTCACTCTCTTCTCCATAGCAAGCTCCCAATGAGTCAAACAAGGCTGAGTAGTAATGTATGGCCTCCACAAATCTTCCCAAGAATGAACCAGCATGGCTCAAATCTTGCTCAACAACTGTCACCACTTTTGGATTTAATCTGCATAACATTTTTCAACAAATAAGAATCTACTTTACTGTCCACTGTACTAAACAAAAGCTAAAAATATGAAGAAAGAAAATAGTAATTTGGGGCTGTCAGAGCAAGAAATACTCTCCAATTTCATTTCCCTTTCATGGACTGTACTTACATATGCAAATCAAATCAGGCATACAATTTTGAATTTTCTAACAAGCATCTATGACTTACTTTTTCTCTTACTTTCACATAAAAAGAATGTTGTTTATTTTGAAGTAACTCTTTCCTGCTGCCAGAACATGCTCTCTATTATATATCCACTTTAAATTTTACAGAATAACCAACAACTGCAATCAAACCTGATAAACAATAAAAGGATTAATTTATCCACATCAGTGATGACAACTCCAAGTAAATCTTCAAAAATTATGAACGAACGAGCTAAAACAACTAGGGAAGCTCTAAAATGTTATAAGCTTTCAGGTGAACATTGGAATTTTAGAAAACATGCAATCAAGATAACTATAAATGAAATCAGAAAATAAAAGAGAGAGACGCCATTGTTGTCACCTTTGCAAGAGCCAAAGAGCATTGGTGTCTGAACCAGTGACATCGTAGAGAGAATGCTGCAACAGGTGAACGGCAACAGCCTCCGTCTCGCTTACGCTCAACCTTTGCGGGTTTAAGTTTCCAATTTTATCAGCTACAGGTGAAAACTCAAATGGTAATCCCAATTTCTCTGCAAAATCAGACAACCGTTTGCCAGTGGCCTCAAGGGCCTCCATAGAAGTGCCCAGCCCGGTGAGGCGAACAAATGGAGGTCCACCAGGCCGCGACGCCAGTATGTGGAAGAGTCCCGGCCATTGTAGGCCTTGCATTATGTCAAGGTCTATAATGTGCACTCTATTCTCCCTCTCAAATGCTTCTTGAATGGCCTGGTTCGCCGTGAAATGAGAAAACTTCACAAAAGGGCTGATCCCGTTAAACACTTGGAAGGCCGACGCCATTTTCTGGCTATGCGGTACCATTGGCAGCGCTGCGTATATTCCCAAGCACGAGTTTACTATCCTCGCCGACATTGCCTCGGAGAAATATGCGGCTACACGTTGAGCTGAAGTGCCAAATGGTGTTGCCAGTTCAGAGATTTCTAACAGCATTTTATTTGCTTCCTCCATGTTTTCAGCAGATACAGCCTCTGCACACTGGAGGAGTAAGGACAAGAGGTGTAAGCCTTCTTCGTCTCTTTGTTTCTGTCGCATTTCTTCTTTCCTCTCCCTGATTGCTTCCACTGCGGTTGTCGAAGGGGACGTTGTTGGTGTCGCCGCCGCCTCAGACTGACTCTGTTGTTGCTGCTCGGGATGGGTTTCTGGCTGAGGAGACTGGTGCGCTTGATTATTCGAATTAGTAACAATAGTTGCAGGAACAGAAAAAGAAGCACTAGTAGGGATTGACGTTACTGCACTAGGGTTGCTTCGAAGGTAATGGCTGTTCCCAATCCCGGCAGCATTCGCCGTCGCAGGTAGTGTTACAACTGGCCTACTCAAATGTTGATTCATGGATTCAGAAAGGCTATGGTTGAACAAATTTTCATCCATATACAACCCGAGCCCAGAAGTCCCTACCTGCCCTTGCCCAGGCTGGTCATGTCTTTGTAAACTCACCGGCGGCAATGCTTCCTTCCTCCTTCCGGGGTAATTCGTAAAGGATTCAGTACCAGTAAGAGAACGAAGCCTGTATTCAAGAACGGCTGCTAGATTAGGGTTGCAAGGGTGTATAATCTCTCTTACGTTGAGTATTAGTTGAGGTATAGAGACATTATTTGAGCTGTGAATAAGATCTTTTATTATGCCGTCGATCCATGCCGTCGCTGCTGCACCCTCCTCCATGGAAATTGCAACTGCACCGGTTGATGCAGCAGTATTAATCGGTAAAAGCACGGCACCGGGGGATGGAGAAAGCTGCAAACCGTGGTTCTCGGCTTTATCAGGAGGGAACAAAGGCAAGCCGGAGAAAACACATACAGAAGGTGTAGACGTAGGCGTTTGAATTTGGGATTGTTGTGCTTGTTGATGTTGAAGATGATGGTAATTTAGGTTTGGAGGAGAAATGGCAGGTTCGGAACCAGATCCAGATTTTCCTGACGTCAAATTCGTGGAAGATGGTAACATCGTCATCATAGTGGAGTGGTTGGCTACGTGGGTTGAACGTAGTAGTTGATTAGGACTATTAAGATCACCACCACCCATAAAAGAGCATACCCCAAAATCACCCAGCGGCGATGTTGCTGTACGGCGGAGAAACCTATTATGGTAGTCGGCGCCGCCGTTTCCTGCTTGAAGCTCCATCTCCGACGCTGCCCTTTTTCTCACCGTCGACTTGCCGTTGTCCGACGGGCCTTGATCCAGAAGAGTAGAATGCAATGGCGGCGCGTTAGAGGAGCCAGTAGTCATTGGACTCTCACTACTACTTTCACCACCGCTGCCATTGACATTTGCAATATGATTACCTTCCTTCAGAGTAAAACCACTCGCCATATACAAATTTAACTATCTGACGAAATTTCAATCTTTGAAGCTGGTTCTTCTTCATCGAAATGGATCGATAATCAGAGATTAATATGCTTGCTGGGTTTTAACTGTATATGATTTGATGCCGAGAGAATAGTGTTTTTCGACAAGGAGATAAGGGGTGCAAGGATTTGGACAAGAGCGTTGGGATTCTGTGTTAAATCTCTCTCTCCAACACGATGTTCTGGGTTTTATTCTAAAATACTGCACTGCTTGCCTTTTGGATTTATCTGTATGGTTCCATGGAAATGGCTGGTGCCACAAAGATACAAACAGTTTGGATGCATGCAATTTTGATGATAAATGAGTACAGATTGATCAGGTGGTGGAGCAACCCCTTTGCGGCGGTGGGGTGGTGGAGCAACCTCTTTGTCGCGGTGGGGGTAGCTAGCTGTAGATGAAATGACGGAGGGTTTGATGATATGTTCCCTGTGTGTCTCCGATCTCTGTCTTTGAGCGTTTGACTTTATGTAGGGAAGCTTCCAATAGCTTTACCATTTACGATAAACCTCGAACACCAGCGACATTGAGCTCACCGATTTTCCAGCCCCCTTTCTCATTGAGAGTCCTTTTTTCGAAACTTCAATAATTTCATTTACAACGACTTACCAATAACAAAAAATTCTACAAAATTTTGATTTGTAATATTGAACTCCAATCTTAAGGGCCCCCACCGTCCCGCTCCTAAAGATCGTGAGGAGGTAAATCAATTAACATGCCTCAACAGGTCAGAGTACAAAGTTATCTACTGATTCCTAGATAAAGTTCAATTTCATGACTTGTAAGAGACAGGAATCGAATGAGCACTAATTTTCGCCATGTCCGATAAGACTCAATATTTATATTTTTTTAAAAGCACTATCTAACTAGCACTAATTTATCAAGCATTATCACATTAACCAATGACTTTTCGAGTAAGCGATTTGAAGTGGTTACGCAAGTATAATGGTAGGACGGGCATGACGTTTGTGATCCAAAAGTTACTTATGAACTCGTTTGGTTAATTCTGTAAAATATTTTTTTTAATTAGAAGAATTTTTAGAAAAATTTGGTTCAATGTGATTTTTTTCTAAAAGCTCTTCTGAAAGTGAAAAATCTTTTAAAAATTAGTTTTCAAACTCTGATTAAGGCAGCTTCATTCGAACATTCTTCTAAGACAATCGGACGCAAAAGTAGAAATCCCGCCAAATATAAGTCAATAATACTGTTTAGATGCCCTAATATTTGATGGACTAGTTGATCTTGAATTGTGTTAATTTAGACTCGGTACAAGAAATTCTGGGATCCATTCTGGCCAGATTTTAATACATCTTTTTAGAGTAATGCTATGTAACCCACTGGGATTGTAACCCCAATTTAGATGGTTCTAAATGATATGTTAAATGAAAGGTAAATTAAATGATCATTTAATGTTACATTAGCGCTACTTATACTGAGATTGTAACCTCAGTGGTGCTAAATAGCATTACTCTTTTTTTTTATCATTTGACAAGTATGCGGGGTCCACTTTTGCAGTAATTATTGGCTGCACATATCGTAAATTACTGAAATTGCAATATTTTAAAGGAGAATGTATTTTATGTGAAGGACGCATTGGTAATTTCACTATACATGGTAAAAAATAACGGCTCACATCTCTAACAAACATTGTATAACGGCTTTATTCTGGCCAAAAAATTGCTTTAAAATGACTCTCAGACACACGTTAAATCATGGATTTGTTTCGATGATAAAGAGAGAAGCTTGTATATTATTTAATTCAATGGTTATAAAATATTTTAGTAAATTCTTTGAAAATCTTCCACATTTAGAAAATATAACAAAACTATACCAATTTACAACATAGTACAAACATAATCTCGATGAAATTCTAATACTTGTCGTATTGTAGATTTAATCTAAGTCCAAATTATCCTTGTCCATCACATTTGGCTTCAACCAAAATTCTATGCTAATAAAATTAAAATTCAATCTACAGCAAATGACCAAAATTTAAATGAAGTTTCTTTGATATTGTCAAATTAAATAAGTGTTATTAGTATTACTGGCCAAATGTACAGTACGTGCCACTAATAAATAAGATTGTAATTCACATGGAAATTGGAATATTAGGGGTACAAGAAATCAATTTAATATTATTTATAATAGTTGCACGTTTATTAATTAGGTAAACTCATGCATGCAAAGTAATGTTTAACTTATCTTCCGATGGGTTCCATGCAAGGGCATTCTAAAGCTCCCAAAGTGCCAATTGTAGTTGATTTTCATGTTTACCTAATAGTACATTCGATTGAGCAAGGTTTTTTAGGTCTCCGTCTAGACCGGTGAGAGAATTTGATAGTAGGGCTGGACATGGTCCGATTCGGTTCGATAGTGAAGAGAATCGAATCAAACCGAACCGAACCAAAATTTTTGGGTATTTAATAAGTGGAATCGTCGGGTCCAAATTTAATTATGGAACCGTTTGAGTTCGTTCAGTTCGGTTCTATTCGGTTCCTAAGTTTTCGTACAATAATTAATTTTTTTATATTTACAACAAAGTTATATTAGTTCGATTATGACATGTTCAACATTAACTCTTACAAAATAACATAGTTCAATCTGGTGATATATTTTGCGCATCTTTTTGTCGAGTTCTTCATAAATTTGACTGTTAAAATCACAAGAGAAAGATAGTCAGTTCACAATAATAGAACGACAGAAACGACACTACGATAGAATAAGAGATTTGGATAAAATTTGAGTCAATTTGATTAAGTTAAATTGGCTGAAAATTAGAACTAGTAAAATTATAATTTACGTTTGAGCTAAATTAATTAGTTAACAAATTCATTTATAAAATTTTTTTTTTGACTTATTTAAAATAAAAAATTAGAGAAGTTCGGATCTCATTCGGTTCTTGGTTTTAGAACCGAACCGAATCAGTCGATTCTCAATTCAAATACTCATTCGAGTATTTAATTTAAGAAGAATCGCTCGATCCGGTTTAGTCCAATTCAGTTCGAGAGTTTTGTCCTGTCCTATTCGATAGTATACCTATCGTGTATGCTAATATAAACGTAAATCACAAATGGAATGGGACTTGATCTCCAAAAATAACAATATATAGTTTAAGCGACTAAATGGAGAGGCGCTAACTTGTTCAATGTTTGCTACATATCTACGTAATGAATGATTTATCCTATTTATTCAATTTCTAGCACTACAAATCGTGTGCTTAATCCATGAGATCAAATTTTACATCCCTTATATATAAATATAAAGTAATTTCAAGCAAAATTTATTTTATTAGGAAAAATTGGCGTAAATGGACCCAAATCTTTGTCCATTTTGTATTTTTGGTCCAAATATTTAAGTCATGGCAAACAGTTCCAAACCTTTGAATTCCTGGCACAATTGGTCATTTTGGATGGATTCCGTATAGTTTTACGTGTGAAAATGCAATTGTTCGTATTTTATTTCGTTTGAAGGAAGGTTTTGTTAAATTTTAAAATACTTCATCTTCTTATACAATTCAGCCACACCTCCACCCAAACATTTGACCCACCCACGAAGTCCCAAGACCATGGGGCTTCTTCCACCACAAACAACGGCAGCAACCTCCGCCAACCACCACTAGGATTGCGTAAGTAAGAAAATCGTGAAATAATCATTTCATAAATTTGGATTTTGTAGATCCTATCGTCCTCTCCATTCACATCACGTGTTTAAGCTTTTAATTCGCTTTACTTTAGGACACTCACAACCTACCTATGTAATTCTTCTGCATTATGCGTTTCTGCTTTCTACTCAATCCTTCATCCTATTAATTACTAATCTACATTAATTTTTTAATTTGAAAAAATTCTCCCCCTTCAAATAAAAAAGAAAAGGAGCAATTGCATTTTCACACAGAAAACTAATGGCATTTTCAGACAAAATCATCCAAAAGGATCAATTATGCCAAGAATGCAATGTTTTGGACAGTTTGTATCAAAATTTAAAGGTTTGGACCAAAAATACAAAATGATCAAAGGTTTGGAACCATTTATGCAGATTTCCCTTTACTTAACAGTAAAATTGAAGGATGTGGATGTAATTTGTCGTTTGAAAAACGAAAACGCAGTCTTCTTAAAGTCACTTCATAGACAAGTCTGTCACGGGGATGGGGTCGGTGTCGAAGCTTCATGAAGGCATTTGTCTTGCATTCACATTTAGCTCCATTTGAACCACGCACATTATTTAAAATTTTAATTTTTTAAATTAATTTTAAATTATATATTTTCTCAATAAAATAATTTTACTCGTAAATTTAAATTTTTTTTCCATATTTTAATTATATATTCTCTTAAAAAATCACTATTACAAAATTTCTTTTTCCAAAAAATGAGACTCTAACAAACACTTAAACACTACTTATCATAGGTACTTAGATATAAAGAATAGTTTGATTTTGCTAAAAATCATATTTTTAGTAAATTTTGATAAGAAATTAATGAAGCCCTTGTTTGGTTTAGATTAAAATCAGATTTTTAGTAGATTCTGATAAAAGTTGATGAAATGAGTGATTGAACAGTTGTGGACCCGTGAAATGTGTGATTAAAATTAATTGTTGACTTTTACTTGAAATTAAAATCAGATTTTAATCTGAATCAAACAGGAGCGAAATATGTGATTAAAAGTAATTATTGATTTTGACTTACATTTTTATTGTTTTTTTTTTTATTAAAACCGATAAGGGACTTGTTACTATTTATTTTATTCTAAATATTATTCAGCTCATATTGAGCAAAAAAAGAATAATAAACCGCAAACAAGAGGACTTTCATTTTCACCCCATAACCTTTTAACATGCTGGTCCTAACCACTAAAAAGAATGTCTTTTCAACTTTTTATAGTTTTGTATTCAGTTAGAAGTACATCGAACACCTTCTATTATTTTTTCCACAATATAGTCCATGTGTGGTCCGGATTTAAGTCAAAGTCAA